GGCTAAATCATTTAAACCACTGATTTGACCTATTTATCTTAAAAGGCCATCATGAAAGTAAGGCATTTTTTAGGTATTTACAAATACAAAATATCGACAGTGTCTCCATCCTAGACTCAACAAATGATCTTATTAGTGAAAGAATCCTAGGGACATCAGTGTTATCCAGGTTCTCTTTTCTTTTTGTTTTTTTGTTTTTTGTTTTTTTTTTGAGATGGAGCCTTGCTCTGTCGCCCAGACTGGAGTGCAGTGGCGTGATCTCAGCTCACTGCAACCTCTGCCTCCTGAGTTCAAGCAGTTTTTCTGCCTTAGCCTCCCGAGTAGCTGGGACTACAGGCATGCACCACCACACCCAGCTAATTTTTGTATTTTTAGTGGAGACAGGGTTTCACCATATTGGCCAGGCTGGTCTCAAACACCTGACCTCATGATCCGCCTGCCTCGGCCTCCCAAAGTGCTGGGATTACAGGCGTGAGCCACCACGCCCAGCCTATCTCTTTTTTTTTTTTTTTTTTTTTTTTGAGACGGAGTCTCGCTGTCACCCAGGCTGGAGTGCTTATAATGCAGACCTGTGATATGCTTCTTCCTATCCCCTCTGATAGTACTATGCACGAGCTGCAGGCTCTTTGTGTCTCTTTACAAGTATTGTTTTCAAATGTTGTAGGGGTCATTACTAGAAAACCTGAGGTATACATTGGAAAAATATATATATATTAAAAATGAGAAGTCTTGGCCAGGTGTGGTGGCTCACGCCTGTAATCCTAGCACTTTGGGAGGCTGAGGCGGGTGGATCACCTGAGGTCAGGAGTTCAAGACCAGCCTGGCGAAGATGGCAAAACCCCCATCTCTACTAAAAATACAAAAAAATTAGCCGAATGTGGTGGTGTGTGCCTGTAGTCCCAGCTACTCAGGAGGCTAGGCAGGAGAATCGCTTGAACCCAGGCAGTGAAGATTGCAGTGAGCCTAGATGGCCCCATTGCACTCCAGCCTGGGAGACGGAGCAAGACTCCGTCTCAATTTAAAAAATAAATAAATCTGGGCTTTGGGTTAGAAGGAAGATGTCTACCTGAAAAATAACCATGAGTCTTCCTTCATACAAATTTAAGGTTCAAGTTGTACCATTCATTTGGTGTCATTTCTTACCCGGGTCAAGAAATTAACATAAAATTAATCATCAGCTGGTGATTACTCTAGGGCATCTGGCAGAAGCAAATGTAGATCCCTTCTGGCAAGATACATTCTTAGCCCAGGTTGCCCAGGAATATCAGACATGTCTCATGGTCTAGAATTACTAAATATACAAGGAAATACTTTGCAGTGAATGAAAGGTGGCATACAACAAACAGCAGGATTATACAACCCTTCCCAGAGACTTTAGTTCATGGAAGCTAGAGACTCTAATAGATGTAAATACCAAATCCAGATTATAAAATAAAAAGGAAGAACAGCAAATGTGAAAAAAGAATAAAGGCCCTGCGTGGTGGCTCACGCCTGAAATCCCAGCATTTTGGGAGGCTGAGGTGGGTGGATCACCTGAGGTGAAGAGTTTGAGACCATCCTGCCCAACATGGTGAAACCCTGTCTCTACTAAAAATACAAAAAATTATCCTGGCATAGTGGCAGATGCCTGTAATCCCAGCTACTCGGGAGAAACTGAGTCAGGAGAATCGTTTGAACCCGGGAGGCGGAGGCTTCAGTGAGCCAAGATCACGCCACTGCAACAAGAGTGAAACTCCGTCTCAAAAAGAAAAGAATAAAATGCTGCCAGGCACAGTGGCTCACACTTCTAATCCCACTACTTTGGGAGGCCAAGCCAGCAGATTACTTGAGCCCAGGAGTTCCAGACCAGCATGAGCAACATGGCGAGACCCCGTCTCTATAAAAAATACAAAAAATTAGCCAGGCAGACCTGGGAGGCTGAGGTGGGAGAATCACCTGAGCCCGGGAGGTTGAGGCTGCAGTGAGCCATGATCATGCCACTGCACTCCAGCCTGGGTGATAGAGTGAGACCCTGTCTCAAAAAGTAAAAGAGTAAAAAAGAATAAATGCTGTATTTAAAAAAAAAAAAAAAAAAGGAAGATTTGAAAAATAGCTGAGTAGAACTAATAGAAATTAAAATTTTAATTAAAAGACACTCTACTTGGATTCAACAGTTAATTGGTAATAGCTGAAAAGAGAATTGGTGAGCTAGAAGAGATATCTGAGGAAATCCAGAATGTATCCAAAACAAAGGACAAAATGGAAATACGACAGAGTGATTAGAATTATAAATCTAACATTTGATGGATAAGAATTTCAGAATGATTAAGTAGATTTGTAGAGAGGCAATATTTGAAGAGTTGATATCAGACTGGGAATTTTCCAGAATCCATAAAAGACATAGATCTCAGATTTAAACAACAGAATGGGCTCCAAGCGTAAAACATAGAAATACAGCCAGATGCTGTGGCTCACACCTGTAATCCCAGCACTTTCGGAGGCTTAGGCAGGCAGATCACTTGAGGTCACGAGTTCGAGACCAGTCTGGCCAACATGGTGAAACCCCATCTCTACTAAAAATACAAAAATTAGATGAGCCTGATGGCAGGCACCTGTAATTCCTGCTACTCGGGAGCCTGAGGCAGGAGAATCACTTGAACCCAGGAGGTGGAGGTTACAGTGAGCCGAGATCATGCCACTGCACTGCAGCCTAGGTAACAGAGTGAGACTCTGTCTCAAAAAAATATATATGTACGTGTGTATATATGTATACATACACACACACACACACACACACACACACACCCAGACACATTCTGATATCAAAGACAGAGAAGCAACCAAAGGTTGCTCAAGATTAAGTGTTGGCCGGGCGCGGTGGCTCAAGCCTGTAATCCCAGTACTTTGGGAGGCCGAGACGGGCGGATCACAAGGTCAGGAGATCGAGACCATCCTGGCTAACACAGTGAAACCCCGTCTCTACTAAAAAAAAAAAAACACAAAAAAACTAGCCGGCCGAGCTGGCGGGCGCCTGTAGTCCCAGCTACTCGGGAGGCTGAGGCAGGAGAATGGCGTAAACCCAGGATGCGGAGCTTGCAGTGAGCTGAGATCCGGCCACTGCACTCCATCCCGGGCGACAGAGCAAGACTCTGTCTCAAAAAAAAAAGAAAAGGATTAAGTGTTTACAAAGAAACACCAGTTAGACTGACAGCGTATTCCTTAGTTGCAGCTACTGAGTTTAGAAGACAAAAGAATAATATATTCAGAAGACTGAAGAAAAAAACAACCAATAATTCAGTAATCCAAGAGAACAAAATATACTTTTCAACAAAAACAACAGCAGTTGTCTCCCCAGATTCTTGCTGTAGCCACGTGTCTGTTGAGCATTTGCAGCGTGTAACTGGTAAAAGCAGACAGAACTGGTTTTTCTTTTTCTTACAGCTAGATGCTCTACAGTATAACCTGATTAATTGAAAATATTAAGATACAGGTTTGTGGTACCATCAAGCTCTATGAAATAGGTTCTGGCTTTTAATGATTTTATTTTGCAAAAAACAGTAACAAACTAAAAGCTGTTCAAACCTAAGCATTCCAAGATTGTGATGATGGCAGATAAATTGATTAATAAGGTTTTGTATATTCAGGAGATTCCACTGCAGAACATAAATAGGATATCTTAACTTTCAAACCAATAAAAACCAGGAAGTGGGAAAAAAGTAAATAGAAACCATGGGAAAATGAAAGCCCAGAATAAAATGGCAGAAATCAGTCAATTTAGAACAAATGTTAAGTGAACTGAACTTGCCAGTTAAAAGACTCAGATTGGATAAACATGTAGAATTTGCCTACATACTGTTTTAATGTTTTTAATTATTTTTCTTTATTTATTTTTTAGAGACAGGTCTCGCTGTGACACCCAACCTGGAGTGCAGTAACACACCATTATGGCTCTGCAGCCTCAGCCTCTGAGGCTTGAGTGATCCTTCCATTTCAGCCTCCCAAGTGGCTGGGACCACAGGTGCACGCCACCACTCCCAGCTAATACGTTTTTATTTTTTGTAGAGACAAGGTCTCTATATTGTCCAGGCTGGTCTCAAACTCCTGGGCTCAAGCAGTCCTCCTGTCTTGGCCTCCCAAAGTGCTGGATTACAGATGTGAGCCACAACACTTGGCCCTGTATGCTGTTTTCAAGAAACTTTAAAAACCCTTAAGATCCTGGAAAGGTTGAAAGTAAGCAACAGAATGAGATTTATCAGGCAGCTATCAAGCAAAAAAGGCTGGTGTCTGTGTGAGTCATACATGGTAAACTGTAAAGCAAAAAGCATCATTGGGGTAAAAGTTACCACATAATGATGAAAGGAATAAGTGACCTAGAATATAAAATAATTTTGAATGATATATACTTATCAGAATTGCAAATTGAATGCTAAAAATCCATAATTATAGTGACAGATTTTAATAAGCCACTTTAGTAATTTACAGATAAAGCAGACAATTTTTTTTTAAGAGATGAGGTCTTGCTTTATAGCCCAGGCTCGTCTCAACCTCCTGGCCACAAATGATCCTCCCACCTTGACCTCCCAAAGTGCTAGGATTACAGGTGTGAGCCACCACATCTGGCCACAGACAATAAAGTTACTGGATAGTTGAACAATACAGTTAACAAACCTGATACGATGGACATATAAAAAACCCTGCTGGCCAGAGGCAGTGGCTCACGCCTATAATCCCAGTACTTTGGGAGTCCGAGGAGGGTGGATCACGAGGTCAGGAGTTCAAGACCAGCCTGGCCAAGATGGTGAAAACCTGTCTCTACTAAAAATACAAAAAAAAAAAAAAATTAGCCAGACGTGGTTGCAGGCACCTATAATCCCAGCTACTCAGGAGGCTGAGGCAGAGAATTGCTTAAACCCGGGAGGTAGAGGTTGCAGTGAGCCAAGATCACACTACTGTACTCCAGCCTGGGCAACAGAGCGAGACTCTGTCTCAAAAAAAAAAAAAAAAAAAAAAAACCCTGCTACTCTCAGTGTTGAAAATTTTGTCCAGTTCTGCTACTGACATTAACTAATGATAAAGTATGTCTGAGAAGAAAAAAGAAAAAAAAATCCTACTTCTAGCAATTAGACAATTTGCGTTTTTTTCAAGTATATATTAGAGGTTTATAAAAATTGCCAAATATAGGCCATTCATCCAAAGAATTTAGGGAGGAAAATAGGGAAATCTGAGCAAAGTTGAAGGCAAATAAGGAGTAGAAATTAATTGCAAAAAGTAGAAATTTCAATAGAATAGAGCAGATCAACAAAACAAAAAATTCCACTATAACATGATTGAGCAACAATCATTAAAAAAACAAGGGGTGGTACAATATGCAGTATTAGAAATAAAAATATAAATATATTCCAACTAAAGGCAGAGAACATGCATTTTTAAAAACAAGCCACTGTGAAGAACTTTTGCCTATAAATTTAAAACTTAGATGGAAGACAGTTTCCTACGAAAACATAGTTTAACAAAGATTACTTAGGAATAAATAGATTTGAAAGGGCTCATAAATAAAATAATTGGGCCAATAGACTAAAAATCTCTCTCATCACTTCTAAAGAAAATGCTGAGAGGAATGTTCTATTCAGTAAATGGTACTAGGACTGTTAGTTCTCCATGTGGAGACCAGCCTCTGAAAAGGCAGCTACAGGGTTCGTACACATCTGGTCTAATCTTCAAGGGAAACTTGTCTCCAAAGTCCGCTCTTCTGTGATGAGGAAATCATGCTTCTGTGATTCACTATTCCCTCAGCAAGGTGGTGAGCAGCATACCTCCCTATTATACATACCTGCTACAAGCAACATACCTCACTATTAGGTTGGTCCAAAAGTAATTGTGGTTTTTGCAATTATAGTAATGTCAAGAACCACAAATATTTTATATCAACTCAATACATACCTGCTACAAGCAGCATACCTCACTGAGTAATACTTCTCTTAGAAGATGTTTTTCCTCAAGACCAGTATCAGAGGTGTTTTGATTTTCACTGTGGACACCTCTTAGGAATAAAGTAGTAATGGGGAATCTTTTTAAAATATCTATATGCTTACCTATCACTTAATTACAAAATGCCCCAAGAATATTCTGTAAAGTGTGTTCTGAGGCATTTTTTAAGAATCTAAACCTAGCATGTGAATCAATAACAAAGTACAGTCATGAGTCACTAAACAACGGGAATATGTCCTAAGAGATGTCATTAGGCAGTTTTGTTGTATGAACATCATAGACTGTACTTACACAAACATAAACGACATAGCCTACACACCTAGAGTATATGGTATTGCTTTGAGGCTACAAACGTGTACGGCATGTTGTTGTACTGAATGTGAGAGGCAGTTGTAGCACATTGGTAAGAATTCGTACATCTAAAAACATCTTAAGAGAAAATGTACAGTGAAAACGTGGTATTATAATCTTAAGAAACCACTGTCATGTATGCAGTCTGTCACTGACCAAAGCAGCGTTTGTGGCGCATGACTTGTAAAAGCAAACAGAACTGATTTTTCTCTTTCTTACAGCTAGTCTACGGTATAACCTGGCTAATTGAAAGTATTAATAATACAGGTTCGCAGTACCATCAAGCTCTATAAAATTGGTTCTGGCATTTAATGATTTTCTTTGGCAAAAACTATTTCAATATTGCATTTTAGGCCAGGCACAGTGGCTCATACCTATAATCCCAGCACTTTGGGAGGCTGAGCCGGGCGGATCACAAGGTCAGGAGTTTGAGACCAGCCTAACCAACAAGGTAAAACCCCATTGCTACTAAAAACACAAAAATTAGCCGGGCATGGTGGCACACGCCTCCAATTCCAGCTACTCAGGAGGCTGAGGCAGGAGAATCACTTGAACCTGGGAGGCGGAGGTTGCAGTTAGCCAAGATCGCACCATTGTACTCCAGCCTGGGCAACAGAGCGAGACTCCATCTCAAAAAAAAAAAAAAAATTGTATATATATACGCCATCACAAAAAAAAAAAAAATATATATATATATAGCGTTTTACCTTTTTTTTAACCAAGGTGATTATTTAACTCAGATACATACCTTAATTCAGTGACATTTATTGAATATGTCATTTGCCAAGCACTTTACCAGCTGCTATATCAAATAGATTAAAACTACTGTGCACTTTTAATGAATTTTATTAATTTTTTTAGTCCTTAGGCTCTATTGTATTTTCTTAGAAAATTATAAGCTGAAGTTACTAAAGGACATTAGAACTTTCTGTGTCAAAACTCTGCCTTCTTGTTAAGGGTCAAGATTCTTTTTTTTTTTCTTCTTCTGAGACAGGGTCTCTGTTGCCCAGGCTGTAGTGTTCAAACGATCCTCCTTCCTCAGCCCCTGCCCTGAGTAGCTAGGACTATAGGTGTGAGCTACCACACCAGCTAAATATTTTTCTTTTAAATAGAGAGAGGGTCTCTACAAATTTTTTGTAGTGATAGGGTCTTGCTGTGTTGACCAACCTGGTCTCCTGGCTTCAAGCGATCATCTCACCTCAGCCTCCCAAAGTGCTCGGATTACACTAGCCACTGCACCCAGCTGGGTCAGGATTCTTAATGAAATGTGCTACTACATTAAGCCCAAAGCTATGCACATTTATTCTTAAAACAACCCCCTGTAGATTAATGATAAAAATTAATGATTTAAAGTCCGTGATTTGAGAGTTATTGGTTGTAAATTTGAATGATTGGGCTAGTAATAGTGACAGTCTGATCTACCAGAGAGACAGTAAGGGTATGTACGTATTTTTTCTTGGTCATTTGCAGCGGCAGTACTCATCCATTGTTTGGAAAGAGTATATAGTCTTGATTTTCTCTTCTCAGACCTTATTCTCGCCATAGACTAGTGTGTAATGGTAGTTTTAACCAAAAACAATGATAATTTTACTTTATGTGCATGTTAGATATGGCATCACTTTACTGGAAGCTAATCATTTATAAGGACAACTTTTTCATGTTTCCTCCACGTAACACCCTAAGGCATGTATCTCCCACTTAATGCCACTTTTTGTATTTTTTAATGTTTTCTGTAAAACCAAAAGCAGTTTTGGGTAAATGGACAAAGTCCTTTTCAGTTTTTCAGAAGAACACAGATATTTCCCGAATTTTATTTTACCTTGACAGGTTTAAACAATTACAAGTTTGTGGTTTGTATGAAACACTTTCAGAGTGATCCTATGTGAGTAAAATCTAATCTGAAATTTTCTTAAAAAGGTGTTAATGTCATATAGCTAGTAGTCTAGTATGTTGCTCTTTAGCCTGCTTAACCAAAAAAGACAATTATCTCGTAAGTATAATTTAAAATGTCAACAATTATTGCTATTTAATATTTTTAAGAACTTACCTCCAAAAGCCAGAGAGAAGTACTGCTTCGTTTCTGCTTCACTTATCACTTTTCCTTTATATCGGGCATCAATCTCTTGATATATTGTGTTTTTAATTAAAATTAGATCACTAGAAAAAGTAGGAAGGTTCATTTCCATCGTGTTGAAAATGCCGCTGCCAAATGGAAAGTTTTAGTAAAAGAAATGCTGTAGTGTGTGCTTTTTTTGTCTCTCTGCTTGTCCTTTCTCAGTTCAAGGACAAGACTCAAAACAGTAGAGATGGTAGGTGGCTGTTGGCATTTGGAGCAAATCTTCAGACTTTTAAAGCACAGTGCAAGAAATTTCCTTACAAGATAAGTTTATAATTTGTCCAGTCCAAAAATGTGAGTTCTCCCTCCAGACTGAAAGAGGAATTCATAAACAACAAGAAAATTTCCGTGGTTCATTCTTTGATATCTTTGAATTTAGTGCAGTTCTTCTTTCTTAGCTTGAAGAAAGGCAGTCTTCCACCATCAGCTGCGGCACTGCTGTGGTTGGTATGATTCTGTAATCAGTGAAGGAGAAAGGGTCTGTGGCAACTGCATTAGTCTGGCCTTCTGGACCAAGATAAGGAAAGAGCCTTGCTGTTGCCACATTTACAGACTGAAGAGGTAAAAACACCACAAAAACACAGAGGGACTTAAGACTCAGTGGCTGAGTCTGACTCAGTGACACATGTTTTAAAAATACGTATGTTACTTTCTGGCTCATTGTAGGCGCTGCTTAGTATTCTGCTAGAGCATTTACCAGGTGCCTTCTTGGTAACTTCGTAAATCCATTGACCATTTCAGAATTTCCAAAGAAGATTCTTTTCATTATGATTCATTAATTACTGACTTTTTCCCCCTCAGGTAGTATTGTTAGATAAAAGCACTTTTCATCTTTTTTTTTTTATTGTGGTGTTATCTTAATTGTAAAGATTGGTAAAGTTAACCATGCCTGTATCATTTATCTCTTTTAGATAATTATATTAAGTATTCAATACTTTGAATGTTATTTATTTTGAGAACTCACAAAGGAAATCATTTTTTGTACCTAAGTGACAGAAATATGTTAACTGTAATATGTAGGTTTTCACCTTCTGTTTACACACTGGTTATCTGTGTATGTAAAAATTGAAACAGAGTAACCACTAGTCTAAGAAGAGGGAAGCTCCTCGGGAGTGTGCAGAATAAACCTTGAGACTGGGCCCTTCGGGTTCAGTGCCCTGGAGGATCCAGGCAGGTCTGAGTCACTTACAAAGTCACTGCTTCCAGGCATGCTCAGCTTTTGCTTTTCTTTTCTTTCTTTCTTTTTTTTTTTTTGAGACGGAGTTTTGCTCTCGTTGCCCAGGCTGGAGTACAGTGGCGCAATCTCAGCTCACTGCAACCTCTGCCACCCAGGTTCAAGTGATTCTCCTTCCTCAGCCTCCTGAGCTGGGATTACAGGCACACGCCCGGCTAATTTTTGTATTTTCAGTAGAAACGGGGTTTCATTATGTTGGCCAGGCTCGTCTTGAACTCCTGACCTCAGGTGATCCACCCGCCTCAGCTTCTCAAAGTGCTGGGATTACAGGCATGAGCCACCACACCCGGCCTTTGTTTGTTTGTTTTTTTATTTTTTTTTTGTTTTGTTTTTTTGAGGTGGAATTTTGCTCTGTTGCCCAGGCTGGAGTGTGCTGGTGCAGTCTCAGCTCACTGCGACCT